AACTTAGTATTAAAGCGACCCCTAATGTAATCTTCATATGGCTGATACACTTCCAGCTGATTTGTTTCATTGCTTTGATGTGATCTTTGTACTGTTGTGTTGGAATTCTTGTATGATTATATATATGCTCTTGATTGTTTCTTTGTTTCTTTTTTGTATGATAAAAACATTAAAAATAGTCTTCACTGTGAGATTATTCTGTCGTGCTTGAGCAGGTCTTCAGGGTGGGGACACACTCTATTAAACTCTCTGTCCCTCCTTCCTTCCAGGTCTCAGTTCCTGGGCTGGAGTCTAGCAGGAGCCCACTGCATCGCCAGACTGGGAGAGCCTTTCACAGGCGGAGCAGGACTGACGAGGAGTCTTGAGGTTCACTCAAAACACATTCAGAACATAACAGAGGTTACAGGTGACAGGGAGCATCGGGACTATCCATCCTGTTCAGTAGTTAGGAGCTAATTGATTCCAGGATCACCTCCAGCTGAAAGAAACCATTGAACAGCTCGGATAACAGCTTTCTCCTCACTCCTATCACCCTTTGTGTCAGTGTGGTTTGTGTAGAACACAGTGCTTAGGGCCAGAGTCATGTCAACAACAGCACAGAGAGTGAAGAGTTTTAATCGAGATGTCCTCTCTATCGTCCAGCAGGGAGGGTGTGTCTCTGTGTATAGTCTCTCAGGAGCTGTGGGACAGCGGGACCGATACTGGGGTTCGAATGCAGGAGCTGCAGTGAGTGTGTGGGGGCTGTTGCCAAGGCAACCAAATATTTTTGTGCTGCGGTGTGGTCACTTCCTGTTTCTCCTTGAGGCCAGTCCAGGAAGAGACAGAGCTCTCACACAAGAGGGCGCTGTGCAGCTGCAGACACTGAGGACAGGAAGAGACAGAGCTCTCACACAAGAGGGTGCTTCTTATTCTTCACTTCAGTATCTGATGATGTAGCACTCAGGTCTGAAGACTTCTCTCACAGAGCTCAGGGAGTGATCTGCTCCAGAGATGAGGTGCAACACAGCTCAGACACCTCAGAACTGATCAAGATAAAACTCAGGCAAAAACTCTCCAATAAGCAAATCACACTTTATTAATGAACAGAGAGAAGGCAGGTTTTAGGACCTGAGAGGACTACACAAATTCACTTGATAGCAGAACTTGCAGAACTAAATATGTATTTATATCAGTCACACTTATCTAGAGAAAAACAAAAGTATAATGGAGGAGTCTTGCACAGAGCCCTGTCTGTATCAATAATGAGAGAGAATGCTGGAGTGAGTTACTGTACAGAGCCCTGTCTGTATCAATAATGAGAGAGAATACTGGAGTGAGTTACTGTACAGAGACCCGTCTGTATCAATAATAAGAGATAATTATGGAGAGTGTTGCTGTGCAGAGAGTAATTAGAGATAATTATGGAGAGTGTGAAGGGAAAGTGATACAGTGTGTTACTGTACAGAGCCCCTCACCAGCTCCTGCTGGAGGTGCAGTAGTCCTGCAGTCAGGAGTGAATGGACAGACAGGAGGAGCTGCTCACCCAGCAGGCACTAGCAGAAGACAGAAATGAGGAAGTAAAAATCAAAATGAAAGCAGATGTACAGGGTTACAGAATGATCGCGTTGTTCCCATGGTCACCTCTGCACTGATTCATACCTCAGTGATAACAAAGAGACAGGTGAGCACATAGTACCCAGCATTCGCTTAGAAATGGACATCTGTGAGAACATGTACAAGTGAACAACAATACTGATTCATTTACTGATACTGAGCATGTATTCTCCAGAACACTGCAGTAAAGCAACCTGAGAAATAATTCACGCACACCTTCTAATAATAAAGACTGTGATGAAGAGAGAACTGGAGACAGTGTGTTTAGAAAGAGCTTCATATTCTCTATCTGTGCGGCTGCGGAGCGCCCTCTGGTGGTGAAAGGAGACTCCTGTCCGTGAGCTCTCGTCTCGGACTGATGGCAGAAGCGAGAGACACGTCATTATCGCATTTCTATACAGACCCTGAGGCACTCTGTCATCTTGACAGCGCTGTGATAAAGGACAACTGGGAATTCTGAGTCACGAGGGACGGGTGTTCAGGAATATTCTGCACATTTTGCTGATCTTTGTTTCTCTGAGCACAACAGAATTTTCTGCATTCCTGCAGAGCTCTCATTTGTTGTGGTGAGTGTGTTTCCTGTCAGGAGAGGTGTCTGCCAGGATGCCTGTAGGAGGCGCTGTTTGGCCTGGAGCTGTGATTGTGCTGGAGAGTCAGGGAAGAGGTCCCAGGTGAGGACAAGCTTTACACTCTTGACTGGTCAGAACACCACAAAACCACATTATAGGACTGACTGGGCCCACTCCTGCTCCTGGAGGGTCAGTGTGTCTGTGGGCTGTCCAGTC